TTTCGAGGGTTAACTGCACTTGCGGGCCTCGGCCTCCCCCGGGGAGGGGTCGAGGGGGGGAGGCGGAGAGTATATCAATCGAAAAACAAGCAGAAGTGTCTATTTTGCTGGCATATCCGGCTGCAAGGCTGCCAGAGGCTGCTGGAAGCCGGACATATTTGGACTTAAGTCCGATGAAAGCAACTGGGGATCGCACCGTTTGCAGTGTACCGTCACAATGGTATGTTTTATCTTAGTTGTTGCATACAACATACTAGCATTGTAGGTCCACTAAGTGAATATTTGCAGCCAAGATTTTGAAAAACGTCTGCCCAGCTGCCCAGCAGTCGCTACATCGCTGCACTCTGCACACCGCACACCGCACACCGCACCACACCACACCACGGCACTACGGTTCGACAGTCTGGCACCGCAGCTGCCGACCCCGATCCCTATCATTTTGAGTATCGACGTATGCGCTAGCTCTGGAGACGACGACAGCAGCAGCAGTGATTTGTCTGACTTGGAGTTTTCGCTCCTTCGTGCGTGCATGGACGAGCGGCAGGAGAACTCATTCAGCGACCGTATTGCGGCATCCGCCCTTCATAAGTACAACAGGCGCAGCGAGTAGGGTGGAGATACTTTCGTGCTACTTTCCGATAAGTTGGTCTTTCGCTCGTTTTTTTTTCTGCTGGTGGAACACCGCTCTCGGGGATGTTTCGCCTTTGGCCTTTCGTTGTCATGGTGTGGCGGTTTTGGTTGGCAGCGGGCAACCACTCGGGGCGGGGGCGGTCATCATGCGATNGACGACGACAGCAGCAGCAGTGATTTGTCTGACTTGGAGTTTTCGCTCCTTCGTGCGTGCATGGACGAGCGGCAGGAGAACTCATTCAGCGACCGTATTGCGGCATCCGCCCTTCATAAGTACAACAGGCGCAGCGAGTAGGGTGGAGATACTTTCGTGCTACTTTCCGATAAGTTGGTCTTTCGCTCGTTTTTTTTTCTGCTGGTGGAACACCGCTCTCGGGGATGTTTCGCCTTTGGCCTTTCGTTGTCATGGTGTGGCGGTTTTGGTTGGCAGCGGGCAACCACTCGGGGCGGGGGCGGTCATCATGCGATGACTCGAAGAGTATTTTATAATAAATTTCAGCAACCTGTTGAACCCTGGAGTGAGTGATAAAAGCCGAACAAGTCACTGCCTGACATGAACGCGGTGGAAGATGTGAATGAGTGATCCTTCGACATCCTTTCTGTAGAAAGAGCATTTAATACGGCATGAGACGAGGAGCAACTTGAGCCCAAAAAAACGCAAAACACGCTGAGTGAGGCACTACTAGCATTGAAAGAGCCACAACATGATGCATTGTGCGTAGGTTGGTGACGGCATAATAACCACCCTGAACAGCAAACTAGTAGAACAAGAGAGCATAACTGGCCGAAACAAACATATGAATGTGAGGGCAGATCCACCCAAAAGGAGCACAACACGAGCAGATCCACCCGAAAGGAGCAGAACACGAGCAGAATTGGCGCAAAATTACGAGCATATGTGAGGGCATAACGGACGAAAATGAGCAGAACCAACGAGCAGATTGGGCTTTTAAAGCAGATGCTTGCCGAAAAAGAGGAGCAGAAACAAAAAAAAAGAGCAGAATGGGCCTGGGCCTACCAAGTATCACAGTCTTATGTGTCTGGGGGGCTCCGGTGGAGTATTTGTACCCACCCTAGGGGGTTCCGCAGATTGATGGTTCTACTCTGCGCATCATTGTGGTTTGTCGAGAGGAATTTCCGGAAATCCATTGCGACTTGACGTGACAGCCCATGATTTAAGAGACGCCTTTAAGGTAATGAATATTTTTCCTTGCGACCGATCGCAAACAAACCCGGCTTGGCGTTGGCACTCGACTCAACCAAGAGCGGAAGGCACTTGGCATTCCTTAAAATACTCGGGTAGTACTACTTTAGAAACCTCCAACTGAAGTTAGTAGATCGAGAGCACATGAGGCAACAGAGACTCAAACGGCATCATCCTAACTCCAGCCCTCTCTTCCATATCCTCAAAGTAGGATCCACAGGGGTCGGCGTGGTGTGCGATGTGGCTGCGAAGTATGAACAACGTGCGTGAACCAAAATGTTGCCCTCACCCCGCCCTATAGTCTGTATCTCTTCCCTCTCGCCACACAACTACGTTTTTTCCCCTCTTATATCCATCACCTAGACTGCATGCGATCAAACATCAACAATCAAAAACAGAACCAGCAACGACGCTTTTACCACCGGCAAGAACAACACACCGACAACACATGCAACAGATTGATTGCTCTACGAACACCGCGTTCGTCCACAATGACTCACGGTATCACCCCCCCCCTATCACTAAATATTTGCGACCAACAGACCAACGAGGAAACAACAAAGGATCTCATTCCCCGTCCTTGTCTTTTCCCTCGTTTCGTATCGCATCCGCGACGGCAAGAGCCTGAACCGCACCCTTAACGTTGTGCACCCGCACCAGTTTCACCCCGCGTTCGGCCGCCGAGCAGCAAGCCCCAACCGTACCCCAATCTCGCTGGACCGGGTCTGATTCGGACGTCAACTGCATGCAGCAGAGAGGACACGACAGGGGGTGGCGGTTGTGAAAGTTGTTGGTGTTGTAGGAGCCTTTGGCGATGGAGAGGGTGGTAAAGATGATAGAGCGTGGTGCAGTGGTGTACGAAGTTGGAAGAATATCTGTCGAGAACAATTGAGGCAAGGAAACATCCCTAGACTACTGCTGTAGAGCAGTGTAAGGGCAAGGACGATGGTCGGCAGAAACGGCTCCGCTAATGGTCCTCCACTTCACTTCCCTTCAACTGTAGACGTTGTGTACCGTGACTCCTGCTCTTTGGCCGTAGCTTTGACGTCAAAAACGAGTTTTTCTGCCCATATCTGACGTGTCTGATGTGCGAGCGATGACTGCATGATAGTGTCGATGGTATTTTTTCTTTTCTCCCATCATCGGATTCTGTCGTCTGCCCCTCTGGCCCCTATCCTCCACTTCTACTAGCTAGACGACCCAACCGGGGTCACAAAGGAGGGGGGGGCTGGACCCCTCCTGCGGTTCCTGCCTGAGGTATATAGTCTAGACAAGTGGTTCCGGTGACGTGGGTGCAGTAGTTGCTACAGCAGTAGTTGCTACAATCAAAACTGTGTCGTTCTGCCATGCCATGTACCACGCGTCTTATTTGAGACGGATCGTCGTCCCTGGTATCGTTCGTCGTCTTCCAACCCATAAACATCACAATGTCTAGCAATCTCCACGCGTTCTCGCCTTGTACATACACAACAAGACAAGGGTACAAACGCTTTCTCCATGCCCTGAAGAAGCACCGGAGAGGGCAGCTCGAAACCTCTTGCTTACCTCTAATAGTGGTTTAAGGCTAAGGCTGAACATATTTCGCGAGCGGACATCCAAGAATGGACTATCGTCATGGTGAGGTATCCTTGACACTTGTTACCGAGTGAAGTTCAAGATTGACCCACCTCTCCTATAAACCGCTTGCGGCTGGGTCCCACCAACAACGGGCTCCCCACGTGCTTGGCGATGACATCTAGCTGACGCATAAGGAGCAGGCTGAGGTGTAGAGGGTACAATATTTTAAACCCATCCGAAAAAGACACGTGTGGGGCGTTCGGAGCGTTTATAAATGCAAGTCCGGTTGAAAGGGTGTGAGCCAGCGAGCAGCGCAGGGGTGGAGGAGGGGGAGATGGATGGATGGCGTCAAGATCAAATTGCGCTGCAGCATGCTCTGGGAGATAATGGGCAATACGGAAACACATACAATTGCAGCCATCAACACAACCTAAGGACATCAATCGCGGGCTCGCGATAGCGAGAGAGAGAGAGAGAATGAGAGAGGGACCCTGGTGCACACGTGGTGATGGCAGCAGTCAGCAATCTTGATCATCTTACCTTCGCTGTTGTGCTCATACTGGAACCAGCAGCAAAACAAACAAAATTCCTATGCCGTCAAGCTCATGTTGTTCTGGGCGATTGTTGACGACGAGAACGCCGATATTCTACAGAAGAAACACGAAGTACTCTTGACCCAGAAACCGCCTTGAGGGCGAACAAGACACATGTCAAGTATCTCTTTCTCTTTCTCAAAATAAACAGGTACAATTAAAGCTGTTTCTCGTCGAAGTAAACAGGTACAATACAAGATGGATGTGAAGGGTGATACTAAAAAGTCTAGTCTAATATAAGTCGATGTTTAGCAATACTTGGCCGACCTTTGTGAGTGCGTCTTCGCAAATCCGATACCCGGATCTAGCACGTGCATCCACCTGAACGTCGTGATCGCAGGGTGAGTGGGATGGGGGGGGGGCGTACTGGCTGGGTTGTGGGCCATCAAAACAGACATACTCCGAAGACGAAGGTTCGTGATTTCACGGTGCCTCGGACTCTAATAGTAAATGTCCGACGTGTGGAGGACACCTGTCGGAAGTACTACCAACCATTTGTGCACATACAAAGTAGGAGGATACGATCCATCCGGGTACCTTGCCATCGGGAGAGTGACAAGTGATACATCGTTGAGATCTACCTCTTCCAGGGTCTTTGGCCGCTTACCGAGAGTGGAGGAGGATCGACTCTCCTTCCTCCACCCTCCGCGGGTCACTCTCTCTACCTCTCTCCTCGTTACGTGTCACCATCTCACCATCTCACGAAAGGAAAACGAAAGGAAATAGCCACCCTTGCCAGTATGGGAACACTGCAACGGCACCGGCTTCTGTCTCTGACGGTAGCCTGTGACCTTTGACGGGTGTGAAATAACTATATCTTCGGGAAGACAGCCCGAAACAAGCGATTTCGGTTGTGAACGAGGATCGAACCCACTTCACTTACAGTACATGGGTGCAAAGGGATTCCACGATGTCTGATCGCTTTCGTCTAGATACTCCACGCGAGATCATCGGATGATAACAGTACGTGATTATAACATGATAACGATGACAACGTGTGTGAGGCGGAATTGACGCCTCCACCGTACATGTCCTCCACTTGAACACGTATAGATAAAATAGGGTACAAAACAAGAAAGAATGTTTGGACATTTGGACAGACGTACATCTCTCATGGGGTGAAATAAAAGTACATCGCATCTGAGGGAGTCTTGAGTGCTGGCACTGCAAACCACCATGTTGTCTACTGAAACAGTATGCTGGTTAAGGGTTCCTCCCGCATACACCAGCAGCTACAACGGCGGTCGGTTCACCCTCATCTCACAGCGGTAACCTACAGGCACAACAACACATTCCATGACCATTCCCCTTCATGACCATCTTTGTTTCGCCCTCGTCCCTGCGTGCGCCAGTGATTGATATTCCTAAGCACGAAATGGGTAAACGTTCACACCCCTAGACTTGATTATTTTTTTTTTCGTCCAAAAGAGCGTTCCATGGTACAACCAAACTCCACGAGTTTGTAGTGCTATGTGTTTTTTCTCTTTCCCTTTTGTTGACCCCCCGCACCCCGCCTTACACACCTCGGGACCCCCGAAATATCAGCCGCCCTGCTACACGCTTCCAACGAGTAAGAAACCTCGCCCACGATGTTACCGCCGTAGTCCGTCAGCGATGTCATCGTTTGAGGGGTTCCACTGGATTCGTGCATGGGTCGGAGGCGGAACAAGCGCACGGGGTTGCGAGGACGAGAAAAGAGATGAAAATCAAGCGGGAAAGAAAAGGAGGGAATCTGCAGGAATGGAGGGAATATTGAGACACAGAGATTAAAAAAAAATGAATAGTTCCTTGTAGGAAAGGAGAACGAACACGATGAACAAACACTTTAAAACAAATAAACAGAAAGCCACGGAGACAAACAGCCCCATCTACAGTAGGCAGAGAGCCAGATCGGCAAGACCAGGCGAAGAGCACTCACACGACTTGCACACCAGTGAAAGTGAGGGTCTCGCGATTGCACCTTGCTGATCGAGGCTAGGCTATCTACAAGGTGTGTTTCGCACCCTCAAGACTGCAAGGCCGCAGAGCTCCTCCGTCACACGACCGCAGCAGCCGTCGTAACGTATCACCTATCAACGTCATCTTCAACACCTCGATGTCATTGATTTCTTGGCCCCGATCAGCCATCTCTTCTTACCGCATGTGCATCATCACCAAAGGCACCCCGGCGCGAGCCACGGTTGCCAACATCCGAGGGTCGAACGTGCCCCCGGACACATCGTTGACAGCGTCTGCCCCTGCCGCCAACGCCGCTTCCGCCACTGCAGCTCGACGCGTGTCTACGGTGATCGTCACGGGTCCGATGGTGGCACAATCATCACAATCGTCACAATCGTCACCCTCCCCGGCTGCTGCTTCGCCGCCAGCGGTTGCAGCGGCGCGTATGCCCTGAATGACGGGCACAACGCGAGAAATCTCTTCCTCGGGGGAAACCTCGGCTGCCCCCGGCCTGCAACAATATTTATTGGAATTATTGTACGTGTTAATACACGTATGCATTGGAGTGTAGGGGGGGCACACGCATTGGGATCACTGAGACCCTTACCGTCGTCGTTGGGGAATCGCCGCTGCTTGAGACTCGATCTCGAGACTCGAGCAGCAACACGACAACGACGGCAACCCCACCCAAGACGGTCACCATCACCTCCAAGACCACCATGAAGACGGCCACCACCACCCTTCAACACTGCGGTACTACAGCATCGTAACCCTAACCATATCGAACAACAAAACACGACCGACACACAACAACGCAAAAACAAAGCCAGACGCTTTGCTTGCCTTGTGGACTCCCCGCCGATGTCAAGCATGTCAGCCCCGTCTCGCAACATCTGCAAAGCATGCTCCACGGCTGTGGCCACGCCCCCCTCCCGTCTATAGTGCTGCCCGCCGTCGCTGAAGCTGTCCGGAGTCGCGTTAAGGATGCCCATGACGTAAGTTCGACTTCGCCTCCCTTCCATAGGCCACAACCTGCCATCACATGCATAGCCCGTGTGTTATCTTGTTGATAGGCTATCGATTTACGGGTCGAGTTGGTCGAAGACGCTTGAGGGTCTGTACAGTATTGTTGGGATTGTGGTGTTTACCTATACCTAGGCAAGTGGTGCTGTAGCGGAGACCGGTACCGGACCGTCGACTAGGAATTAGAGAGGACACATGAAATTTTCATTAACAGTCTGAAAATTTCACCGCTCAAAAACCCTTCGCACAGAAAAACGGCACCGAACACGACTGGACTGGAGTAGGATGCTGAATGTGCTCTGGGTGCGAGCTGTGTTTCTCGAAAAAAGCGATCGCCCTGTTGTTTAATCTTTCTGAGGGCTGCAGTCCGAACACCAATCGGTCGGCGCGGTGCTCCGAAAATAACAACTACGCCAGACGTGCATACAAACTCAGAGAAAGAACGACAGCTTTAGCAGCATCTGCGGCACACTCGCTCCCCCGTACAAGGCCACACAGTGAACAAAATGACTCGCAGACGCATAAAGGCCTGGGCTCACCTCGTGTGTCCGTTGCTGCAAACGCCCATCGGCAGCACTCTCTCCGCACCACCCGCTCCTGCTGATTCCCCCGCTTGGCCCTCAACCCCCTTGGCGCCCGCCGCTGCCGCCGACAAGGTTGTGTTTCCCACGCCTGCGGATAAACCTAGGCCTGAGAGAAGTTCTTTGACAGTCGAGCGCAGTACTGGGTGTGCCAGATCTGGTTTGATGTCTGCCAAAGGGAGCAGCACGAACGGTCGTTCGTGCATCCGAGGATGTGGAATTCGTAGCCACCGCTTCGATTGCTGCTTCTGCTGCTGCTGCTGTGGCCGCTCGGTGCCTATTCTTGCCTCGTGTTTCATGAAGGTCCACAACATAGATGGGAGCACGCCAGATACAACAAGATGGTTGGACAATGGGTGGAAGATGCAAACATGAGGGTGGTCAGCATAGCACGGCCGACAACATGTGCGACGACATCGTGTCAGGAGGTATGACTGCGGTGATGGCTGCGGACCAATACCGTAGCTCTCAACTCCCGATTGCTGCCACTATGACATTGCTTGTGTAGCACCATGTGCCGTTACCTTCGTTACCGGAAACAGACGTTACACTACACTGCTGTGTCCTCCTCTGCATTTGATCACGTTCAACAGCACCATTTTCCGCACGCACCCTTGCGTACGACGTTTTGTGCCGCCACTCAGCTCCGACGCGCGCACTAAGTAGGCCCTGGTCCCTAGTGGACGCGTCCCTAATAGTGGTACCTCCTCAGCATATACCATCAACAGTCGCCATGTCCTACGGCTATTCTTTCCATGAACAAGAACTTTAACTGACGCGGAATCCAAGATGTGTTCATAGCAATTTGATCATCTCGCCTTGACTATCTCACCGCCACCATCATCACCATCGCCACCGTTGCCACCGTCCAACACAAGGTCGTCGTACAAGAGGATGTCCACGTCCACCGCCCGAGGCCCCCATCTCGCGGTGTCCTTCCTGTTAAAAGCATCCAGTACAATGCCACGAGCATAGAAGATCACGGTTGGAACCCGACTCATTTCTTGTCGTACTACAAGCTGTTGAAATGCTTAAACCGAACAAATTGGCACCGTGAGTGTACATGTAGGCGCTACTGCGCATGAGAACTCCGCCAAAGGAAAGAGAGCAAACATACTGTAGGTATATAGGTACACCACCGGCTAGCTGAACCTTGCACCACCGCTTTAACCAGACACGATGAGAATTCCAAAGGAAAAGTCAGCTGTAGGTCCAAGACAAGCCACCACCCACCATTGTGACCGACGAGGAAAAAACGCTGTGCCCCCCTCGTCCTCCTGCTGAGTCTCACCGTCCTACAGCAGCCTCGAGAGCCTTGAGGCGCTCAAGCAACACGGCCGGGGCAAGGTCGGTGCTCAACCGACATGCAGCGTTGAGGAACCACGGCTGGTTCTCCACGTACATAGGAGGCGTCTCGTACAGAAGCGAGGTAGCATCTACTTCCCCAAACTGCATCAACAGCAAGAGGGGTGCAGGAACACAACATGGGCACATAACAGGCGGCGAGCGCCGGGGGGGGGGTAACGTGGAACCGGCGTAGGTCGGTGGGGGGGAGGGTCTCGCGTGCAACTAATTCTCCTCCCACAACACCACACAACAAATACGCTCGGATATGCTCCTGCTGTTGCTGATGGTATTGGTGGCGTTCGTGTGTAGACTGCACCGCCGTCCGAGACCCCGGTCAAGCGTGTTCTACGATGGTAGTTTTACAGTGAAGCCTCATGCGTCAACGACGCTGCATCTACAGCAGTACAGCAATAGACGAAATAGCGCAATGTATGCCGATTGGCAACCTACAATGCCGGCCTACCAGCAGCACGCCCGCTTGGTTTCGCTTCGCACCTCGCGGAGCCCCTTGTAGGCCCGTAGCAGGTTGGCGTGTCTGTCGCCGACGTTGCTGCCGAGGCCCAGGTATACGGTGGCGAGACTTCTAACGCTTGCACCCCCTCTTCGACGGCCAAAGTCTAACAGGGAGCCTCTCGACGAGGGGACGGATGATGATGCCGGATGCATACAAGTGGTCGTGCTCGGCCTTAGAGGGCAGCCTGCCCTCGCAAAATCACCAACAAAGCGGGCGGGCTCACATGACTCAAGAGAAGCTTGTTTCTGTCGTCTTTCGGGTCGAACGCGAGGGGGGGGGGGGGGGG